TTTTTTTTTTTTTTTTGGGAAAGCATTTAACTTTTATTGCAAAATTCACACCGGGACCTCAAAATTCATAGAAAATTGCATGACCACTGACCAGGTAAAACCTGTATAATGGTGATCTACCGGACTGGTTTCTACTGGCCGCCAGCCAGGAACTCCCTTAGTCCGTATTTAGGACCATGTTCTATCTCTACTTTTTATCTTGCACTTAAGTTGTCTACTCCTATTGTTTTTTAGGGGTTGTATTTGATTGCAACTGTAGCAAAGGCGGGGCCCGGGTCCCCACAACTCAACCCGGAATAGTATCCTCTGGCAGCATTAGCCAGTTTCGCTTTTGACGGGACCAATGGGACCCGTTTCGCTTTTGACGGGACCAATGGGACCCGGAACATGTTCAACTTGAAGAATTGAAGTCCTGAGCTGAGCCTACACCTACGGTCTTCCCCCGAACATAACGCACCCTAAAAATGAATGCATACAAGCTATAATTCCGGCCAGAGACAGCCAAAGTAAGGGTGCGTTGTGTTCGGGGGAAGACGGTAGTCTGATTATCCTAACGGAAAGGGGTACTGTGTTGCTTTGGTCTTATCTTAACTAGGGGAGGTAGCAAAGGATGAGGTGAGGAGAGCCAAGAATAGACAGGTGAAGATTGTGGGGGAGGGGGAAAGGAAGTACTCCTATTGTTTCACCATCCTGGAAACCTAGGTCCCATTAGCCAAGAATGCCTAGGTCCCATTAGCAAAGACGATTAGATTTAGCTCCTGAATCTGGAAGTGTTCTACGCAGAGAAACGCTGTTCAATCTCGAATTTCTGCCCTTTCCCAGGAACACGTCTAGATTCCGCCGTTCAATCCAATCCATGTTGCTAGTGGGACCCCGCCCCAGAGGTCTGAGTCTCAATTCACCACAGTGACTATCAGTCTGCAATTCGAGAGGTAGTCCTCTCAGTCAAAGAAATTACCACAGTGGCTCCAGTAGTCAGAATATCAGAATCTCGTATTTGCAGGTACAGGGGCTCGCCACAGTGCCACAGCCTTTCGGATGAACAAGGCATTTTGCGAAATATGTTGTCAGTCTTCATCTGGAAGTCTTAGACTGGAGGCCTTAGGCTGCTCGTCAAAAGAACCCCCCCCGCCTTGCCACACCAGTATTTCGAAACACTGCTCGTTATGCACATTCTCATAGCCCCCCCATTGTATATTTCTCTTTTTGTTGCAATAGCCTAATACCCTATTTTGAGAGGGCCCTTTCCACAAGATTGCTCGCAGGCTTTTGGAGAAAGGGTTGTGCCCGGCAGGAGGATCTTGCCCCTTCAGAACGCCTTTCGAGGCCGAACTCCCTGACACGTTGCAAAACTTTTTCAAGGGCAAGTGTGTCCAGAGCCTGTGGCGAAGACGGGGGGTCGATTTTCAACCTTTGGAAAGCCTTAGGCCGTGTGGCGAGCCCCATAAACTACTCCATTTGTTTCCCAGCGCGGCCGCAAAAAAATAGGCACATGTCACAAGTTGAAATCTGACGTCCTTGTTGTAAACCAAGCCTCAGGGTCTGTAGAGTCCAAAAATAGGGAATGTGGGTCTGTAAATCCAAGCCTTGGGGTCTGGAAATCCACAAAATAGAAATGTGTGGCCGGTCGTTCTTTTTTCTTTTCAAAGATACGACCGGGAACAAATCCAGCATGCAAACATAACTAGGGTGATGGCTGGCCACACAGCAAGCCAGCGCATTCCTGTGACGCCCAACCTCACGCCCAGCGCGACTTCCTGATCGGAGTGGGGTGTGGGCCTAGAAGTGCGAAAAGGGGGTGTGCCAAGGATTTTAGGGAAAGTGGGGGTGGAGTCCCAGGTCAGAACTGAGATCTCCTGTGGCAGAGTTTTTCGGGGGCACGGGTGCAATTTGGCAGAGAGGGCGGACGGCTTCTGCTCATAAGGCAGATGGCATGCGCATGTCGTTTAAGGCCGCTCGATCCGTCTGTTTTGGTGACGGCGATTCATCGAAAGGTCCATTCGGGGTGGGTGTGATCCTGATGAGTCGGGGCGCCGGTTCTCGCCACGTGGCGCCGGTCGTCGCGCGTTCAGGTTGGGCCCTCGGGTTGCCGGGGCTCTCTGGTTCCCGCGTCGTCGGCAATTTCTGCAGGGCGTGCGGGGCCAGTATGGGGCTATGGCGTTCCACGGGACGAAGACGGAAGGGTGTGACGCCCAACCTCACGCCCAGCGCGACTTCCTGATCGGAGTAGGATGTGGGCCTGAAAGTGCGAAAAGGGGTGTGCCAAGGATTGTTGGGAAAGTCGGGGTGGAGTCCCAGGTCAGAACTGAGATCTCCTGTGGCAGAGGTTTTCGGGGGCACGAGCGCAATTTGGCGGAGAGGGCGGACCGCCTCTGGTCATAAGGCAGATGGCATGCGTGGGTCACTCGAGGCCGTGCGAGCCATTGGTTCCGAGGACGGCAGTTTGCGGGAAGGTCCCTCCGGGGTGGGTGGGGTTCCGATGAGTCAGGCCGTCGGAGGTTGCCACGTGGTGCCGGTCGTCGCGCGTTTGGGTTAGGCGTCCGGAATTCCGGGGTCCTCTGATCGGAGTCGTCGGCAATTTCCACAGGGTGTACTGGGCCAGTATGGGGCTATGGCCTTCCACGGGACGACGTTGAGTTGGTGATACAGAAGAAGAAGACGGAAGGGAGGGAAGCTGGTGGAGATAACGACGAATCCGGGGTGGGTGAAGTAGTGGGTGTGGTCCTAGGTGGGGAAATCAGAGCATCGAGGGTCGCTGGTGGTGGCGCAGTGAAACTCCCTAGGACACAGTCGATTCTCGGTTAGGCAAGGATATCTTTGTCGGAGGATTTCATCTATCCAAGGGGTGAAGTAGTCCGGGTTGTACAACAACGACTCCGAGCTCTCTGAGCGTGTCATTATGTCATCGCAGAGCTACGAGACGCCTAAGGGCGGATCTGTGCCGATTGCGATCACCGAGTGCGAGCACGTGCAGGCTGCATGAATCAAGTCGCGCTTACGCGTGTTCACACGAGATGACTGCCATGTCGCAGACCCCGGATGGCCGTATCCAACCAGACGTTATTTCTACAATCGATAGTCCTTTTTGGATTTGACGAATCAACGCACGGGGGCACGTGTAAATGCGCAGATCAGGTCGCATTTACACACGTCCTTGCGCGGCGTTCGCTAGGCAAGACATTCAACTGTCTAATCACTCCGTGATGGAAGATGCAACAATCATAACAGCTCAATCAAAAGATAAGCAAAAATGAGAACAGGATTACCGATTGCACAAAATTCCTAGCCTACTCATGAGTGCATTACAGACAGTAAACAAGGGCAAACGCAAGGATCCGATAGGAAAACAAGCAACCAAACATGACATCCATTCATTCATTCATACATTCACACACCATATCTGAGATGGGAAATCGCAAGGACAAAGGTGAGCGAAAAACCAAATCCAGATTTCGAGAAACAGAAAACGGGTAAATCACCCGGAGCCGAAATCAAAATTTATATACACGAGACAAGAGGGAGAAAAGATAAAAGAAACAGCAAATTCGCGTCCATCAACCTCAACTCCCTCTTCCTCTCTCTCCTTCTCCGATGCGGACAGTCCGTCGTCGTGCACCAACCCACGAAGTCGTCACCCCGCTTAGTCCTCCCCCACCCGTCAGGTTCGCCCGCGCCCACAGTCCGTCGTGGCCCGCGTCAACCCCGCGCGTTTGGCACCAGGTAGTCGGGTCGCCCGACTCCTGCTCGACTCACCTCTTACTTCGCTCGTGTGGTGACCCTCTCTGATCGCGCAACCCCGAGCTTCCAACAGCTGGTTAAGAGAGTTAACTAATCGCGCAGCCGGAATTTATAGCGTGCATGCATGCACGAAGAACACAAAATTACAAGGACTTAGAAAAAATATTAGAGAGGGAGCGCCTGCGTTCTGTATGAGCGGCCCGAGGCGTGGGGGACATAACCGCTCTCCACGCTTCGATCCGATCATGCAGACTGCGGCTACCAAAAGTTTAACGCAGCAAAAGAAAGAGAAGAAGGGCGGGAAAGACGAAGCACAAGAAGGAAGATACAGTTACAATGGCGCCAACCCAAAATTACAGTTACACACCCGATTAAAGGCGCCGACTAACCAGAATTCCATTGCAGCCGCATAAAGAAGCGCGTAAGCAAAAGGCGCCGCGCGGCAAAAGAAAGTCCTAATTACAAAAATTCCTAAATTCCTATCTAATGCGAAAAAGCAAAAAACACAAGTTCCGAAAAGAAAGTCCGAATTTCCGAGAGCCATCGGGGCTCGACAAAATTCGAAAAGGAATTCAAAAAGAAAACTCAAAAAGAACGAAGCGAATTCCAGCGCGATGTCCATGCCCAAATTCCAAAACCGAACAACAGAAACGACGTCAACAGTTATTAATCGCGCGCATGACAGCGCGCCAACCATTCAACCGACCAATCAATCACCCGTCCCGGGACACGCCCAGTCAACCCCACCATCGTAAAAGGAGACGACGAAAAGGACGAAGAAGCGAGGGTACTGATGCAATTTCCCACCGATCCCGATCTCCCGTAATTGGCCCAACCTTCCCAGCTTAGTACCCTTCATTGCAATCGCACAGAAAGTCGCGCGCTACAGAAAGTGGTTCGTCACATATGTGAATAGCAAGCTCCTGCTTGCTTGTTGACACATGTCGATTTCTCTAATCGATCAACACGCGGAGCTCTTCTCTCTATGCCACTTACCGTTCGAATGAGTGTGGACGTCGTCCATCGTGGCAACACAACTTTACTACTAATTCCTCAGGGAGGGCCATTGACAATCCAAGGAGGGGATTACACGTGTCGTTGTCATGACGCGTGCCCATCAGTCCTACATCAGCGAGCGCCAGGGAGGGGAAAAGGGAGACGGTACATGGAGGGATGGCGAAAGGGAGGGTTGATAGGTAGCTGGGGAAGGCCAGTGTGAGGGAAGGACGCGAGGTAATCGGGGTAGAGGGTGGTAAAGGTTCGGAAAAGGGCCGCGCGAAAGTGATCGTGGTTCTTGCATGCGGGGATAATCCCCGTAATCATGCAGTATACCTCGATTATATTGTGCTCTCGCCACGCGACACTAAGGAAAAGGATATGGAGGCAGAAGACAGGGAGGACGCATCGGGTGGAAGGGTGGGGATGAACAGGGACAGCGAGGCGGGTAGTGTAGAAAAAGCGGAAGGTATCGATGGGGAAGGGATTGTCGGGGAAGGTGACGCGAGTGGTAATTTGGCGGAAAAAGAGGTGGTCAAGGGGACGGCGGGATAATGACCGGGGGCAGCTGGGTTCCCATCCTCGGGCTTAGGTGGCTCCGGATCTTGGGCCGGATCGTCGGTGCGCGGCTGGCCGGCTGCGCTCGCGAATTCCAACTGTCGCTTCCCGACCACGATCTTTTCCCTCTTCTGCGTCTGGGCCTGCGCCCGAGCCTCGTCACGCACTTCCTCCTCGAATCCTTCCCACTCCGACTCTTCCAGCTCCTCCTGATCTTTTTCTTCTTCTTCGTCGCCTTGTTCTTCTTCCTCCTCCTCCTCACTTTGCTCCCCTTCGCTGTGCTCACTGTAACTCCCCTCTTCGGGAGTTTCTTCCTCGTCGTCCTCTTCTTCGGCTTCTTCTTCTTCTTCCGAGCTTTCTTCTTCCGCTTCAATCTCTACCTCCTCGTTCTCGGAAGCCGTCCGATCTTGAAAGAAGGCGAGGTCGACTATCTCGTGCGGGTCCAGATAACCGCGCTGTGATGGTGGGTTGCGGACGCTTCCCCGTTCCTCCAAGCACGCCGACCACTGAAGATATGGCGCCAAGGTCTGTTTGAGAACGTACGGGACTGGGCTGTCGTCGCTCTGCGAGACGATCTCAAGTGGGAGATCGTCGGCCAGCTGCGCAAGGGGGAACGTTAGCTCCTGTGCGATCAGTTCGAGATGATCGGACCGCACCGATCCGAAGAGGAATCCGAGTAGATCTCCCTCCACTCCCGTTCGCCACGCCTGGATGATAAGCAACTCAAGGTACTCAGCCCACTGGCGGTGATCCTCATGCCGCGTCCACGTGACTCTTACTCTGACCAGACACACCGACATTTCTACGAAGTGTTCTCGCCAACGCCTCCACTGCTGGGGATCGAGGAGGGGGACAGCGAGTGATTCAAGACAAAAGGAGAGGTCTGGATGGACTCCGGACTGCCAGAAGGTGGGAAAGAAAGAGGGGAGGTCGAAAGTGGAGATTGGGGATGGGTTCATTGAGGACGGGGGAAGGGGATGAGTTCAGGGAGCTCCACCGCCGGCTCGTGCTGGAAACCTCGGATCCCATCGAGGTCGACGCCGTCCGTGGGAAAAAGATTATCGTCGTGGGGCGTGAGCCAGCGATTCCACTCTGACGCCAACTGCTGCGCCCACAGCAAAAGCGTTGTCTTGATAGTCGTATGCCGCAGCGGGCTGATGGTGCTGATGTCGCCACTGAAGGCGACCACTGTAGACACGTGGCTGATTCCAGGAGCCGATTGCCGATGAACTGCTACCGCCTCCGCCAAAACAACCGCCCGGGGACTGCCTGCAAATCGAAACTCAGCGGCTGCTTACACTCCCTGGGTACAGAAGAATTGCGCAAGTCGCCGAAGGTCCGGGTTGAGCCACGAATGATGAACTTGTTGGATCGCCGAGATGTAACACCGCGGCACCAACAGAGGATCGCCGAGAGCTCGCTCCGTAAGAAAACTCATGGCGATGGCGACGGGGACGCGGTAACAGATGGAGAACAAGAAGGAGACAGAGAGACAGGCGATGGGCAGTCATCGTCCTCTTCCGCAGTGGAGGAGGAATTAGATGAAGGCAAAGATGGGGAAGAAGGAAGGGGACGAAGGTAGGACACGTGGCGGATGATCGGACGAGCTAATCGGCTGCCGGAGACCTCAGGCGCAAGCCGCACGGTGTTCGCACCGTTCGGTCCAAGCTCAATCACGCGGAATCGCCCGAAGAATTGTGACGCTAGCTTACCCTGGCGAGCACATTTCCTCACCTACACGATGTCCCCCAATTTGTACTGGGGCCGTGGACCTGCGTTCCCGTTCCGGGCCTCGTAGCTTCGGACCTGTCGGCCGTGGGCCAACTTGGTCATTTTCTGGCGTTTTCGGGCTAGCCTGGGAAGGGACCGTTCCATTAACTCTAAGTGTCGCTTGGCCTTGTCCCGTGCCGTGGCCCTTGTGGGCCGGCGGTTGAACGTTGATTCGTCAGGGAGGCTTGGTATCGAAACGCAAGCGACGCTATTGGTGCTTAATTGGAAGGGGCTCAGGCCCGTCGATTCGTGGGGCATTCCGCGATGGACCGCTAGGATGTGGTCAACGATATCGAGCTAAGGCCTCGGATCCCGTGCCGCGATGTTTCGTCGCAGCGCTGTCTTTATCACCCTATTTGCGTTTTCTATTAGCCCATTGGATTGTGAGATATGGGGCACGGTATTCCGCACAGCGACACCGTGTATGACCAGGTTCCTTAATACTTCCCCTCTGAATTCTGCCCCGTTATCGGTCAAGATTTCTTCCGTATCCTGGTGCATCCCGAGAAAACGGTTAACATACCACATGATTTCGGCGGCTTGTCGCGTGCTACATGGGTAGGCCTCGATCCATTTCGAAAAATGGTCGACAAATACCAATAGGACTGAATATTCACAACTATTAAGACCAGGGGGTACCACGATATCGGTAGTATCCATACTCACCCTTTGGAACGGCCGCTCAACTATCGTTGGTACTATCGATCTTGGCGGCTGGATCGGCGCCTTGTCAGCAGCGCAGACTTGACAGTTTGCGACGATGAATTTCACATCGTCCCGAATATTGGACCAATACCATTCGTTTTTGTCGATGGCCGACTCCGTAACCCGTACGGCAAAATGGGCAGCCGTTTCTTCGTGTGCTGTCTTCACCCAGTCGTACCTCATGAACGGATGTGGTACAACCATCCAAATCCCACTGCCGTCCGTTTTCCATTTTTCTAACCTACCCTCTATCCACCGGTAATCCCCAGCCCTTTCATTAGCCCTCCTCCGATCTTCCTTGGTGAATTCCTGGAGGGGGTTACCCACTAAGGTGGCAATCAAAGCGATATCGGTCCATACTTCATCCCTTCTGAACTTCCGGGTCTTCTCCAATCCTTCTGACGTGGCATCAAAAAAGCGAGCCTCGGTCGGGATCTTGTCAACCCGACACAAGGGGCATCACCACGGCTTACTATTATTTCAAGATTGGATGCACAAGCCATGGGCTCGTGCAACACACTGTCGACAATCTACCCATTCCACATAGCCTTTCCCGTTAGGACGCATGGAGACTGAATATACGCGGTAAATAGCTTTGCAAAAATAGCAAAATTTATCAAGCAGGGAGAGAAGAGATGAAGAGGAGATGGGAGAAAGAGGGGTAGTGAGGTTACCTCCGTCACCCATGGCCACCGGTCTGCTTCTTGCCACGTGGGAGAACTGCCACTTGTCCGTACTTAGGCCCGTTTGCCGGTTCTGACTCCTTTCACGGAGTGATTTCCTCACCCTTAGGTACTTTAGCGAGCCGATGCAGACGTGTCAGTCCGTTCGCGTTGCCGTGTCTTTCTGTCTTCCGGTGCATGATGTCGAAGTCATACTCCTGTAGACGTACCGCCCAATGCCCAATCATGCATGTGTAATTAGTGAGTTTTTTCAAGGCCAGCAGAGGCCCATGGTCCGTCACGAGGCGGAATTTCTGCCCGTCGAGATACGGATGGAAGTGCTGGATCCCCTAGACTACTGCATAGCATTCGCCTTGGGGTGCTGAGTCATTCCTCCGTTCGTCTGGCACCGTTCGCGACGCGTACTCAATGACGTGTTCGCGACCATCATTCCCCTTCTGCGCTAAAATAGCAGAAATAGCTTCCGGTTGCCAGTCCGTGATAAGAATGAACTGTTTCGAGGGGTCCGGTCGGATCAAAATAGGTGCCGTCGTCGGAGCGTCTTTAAGGGTCGTGAAGGCCTGCTCACACTTCGCATCCCAACTGAGAGGCAGATCCTTTCGTAACAGGTTCGTTAGTGGCCGTGCAATCGCGGCGAAGCCTTTGATGGAACGACGATAGTACGATGCCAACCCCAAGAAGACTCGAACCTGCGTCAGCGACGTGGGAACTGGGGCTTCTCTCACCGCCGCGACCTTTCTCGAGTCAGGCCGCAATCCTCCACGTGTCACGACGTAACCCAGGAATGAAATTTCTGAGAGGAAAAATTCGCTCTTCTCAAGTGCGATCTTGAATCTAGCGTCTCTCAGCGCTCCCAACGTCCACTTAATGTGTTGTGCATGTTCGTGATAGGTCTTCGAGTAGACAAGGATATCGTCCATGTATACGATCAGGCAAAAGTTGATCATTCCCTGAGTTAGCCGTGTCTTGTGGACGAAGTTCAGGAACGTCATGTTCATCGCTCGCTGAAATGTGGCAGACGCGTTGCAAATCCCCATCGGACCCTGAACCCACTGCCACGTGTCCTCAAACAACACGAATGTCGTCTTTGACCGATCTTCCTCCTTAACCAGAATGCGATGAAACCCATGCCGAAATAATTAGCACATCCAATCGCATCCAGCAAATCATCAATCCGGGGGAGGGGATACACATCTTTAATCGTGATTTCATTTAATTTGCGATAATCGATGCATATGCGGATTGATCCGTTTTTCTTCGTCACTAATACTACTGGAAACGACCATGGTCCAGTGGCGGGTTCGATCCACCCGCTTACTTCGAATTCCCGAATTCGTTCGAAAGTCTTTTTCCGTTCTATCAGGGAGTACCGGTAGGGATTGCAGTGGATGGGGGAATGATTTCCGGTCTGAATTTCGTGTTGAATGACCAACAACAAGCCGATGTCAGTGTCCGTTACGCTAATCGCTCCCTGATACTCTGTCAGAATGTCCGCAATCAAATGATGAATCTCATCAGGTACGTAGAGATAAAAGAATGGTCCGATTGCCAGGAGAACACCGTGGCCATCGTCTGGGTGTCTTCCTCCCAGTTGGCCACGTGTCCTTTCGGGGTGATCCCATCGCAGATATCTTGCCATGGTACGGTTTTAGTTGCGATCTTTACCTTGAGCTCATCTGATTCAGCCTCGAGATGCCCAGGGGGTTCCAAAGAACTGGCCTCAGTCGTACTTCCTTTGCGGGTGTCAACAGGGACTTCGATAGATCTGTGATATCGCAGTAGTGCTTCTTGTCGTTGTATCAGGCGAGGAGAGGGGAGATTCCTTCGTACAGGGTTTGAGGGGGTTCCAAAGAATCGACCATCCTCGAAATCTGTACGAGGGGTTCATCCAAAATCATCACCTTAGTCCTTTGGATATTCCGACTGGTCAGATGCATCGTTCTTGCAATCGTTCTGGGCGGCGGGTAATAAATACGCTGTCGTGCTAGTTTCAGAATTTCCAGATCATTTTCGTCACTGCTATCTGCATCCCTCGATGATGGCTCATCGTCTGCGGAGTTTTCCCAGGCGATCATGCGGAGAGTTTCTGCTATCATCGGAGAGACTCGCGGGACCTCGTTGATGGTAGTGCAAAGGGTCAGTCTCATAGGTACAGCATAGGGTTTTCCTCCCGTATTTCGGAGGATGATTGACCGTCGCTCGAAATCCAAGTTTGCTCGCAGAGCCACAAGAGCGGGAAGGCCGAAAAGAACATCGTAGGTGTTTACATTTAATACCACGACATCTCCCACTGCATGCACCTTTCCCAATCGGAAAGCAACGTTGGTCATCCGTCCCACTGTCTTAATCTTTTCTCCGTCTGCCGAAACGAGCTGGTCCTTCTCTGTAAGCATGATCAGATCATTTTTCCTACCTGCCCTCTCAACTACTCGCAGTGAAATAGCTAAAGCAGCAGCTGCCGAATCAATGATTGCATTGTACGGAATTCCCCATATTTCGATGTCACATTCCGCAGTTTTCCACAGGATGGGTTTAATCCGCATGAAATGATCATCTTTCTGTATTAGTCCTACCCGTATTGGATCCGATGTGCCAGCCGTGTTTTCATCTGGCGTGGGGCTTTTAGCTTTTACGTTCGTTGTTCGAGCGAGGGCGAATCGTTTTCGATTCGCCTTACAGTGTTGTAACATTCGCACCTTAGCTTGTTCAGAGATGGAGAGCAGATGGTCAATCGGAAGTGGAATCCGATGGTCCAAGGCTCGGATGATGTTGAGCACATTGATTTCCCCAGTGACGAAGGTGGGTCCTCCCGACTCCATCTCTCCTGGAGAGGGTCGCCATTCCGCCACTTCTTTCTGTTCTGGCGCCGGCCTAATCATTCCAATCATCCCAAGCCCAGGGTAACCCAGCGATACGTACTGATCTAACGGGATGAGCTCAACAACCTCTTCCGTGGTTGCAACGCACTTCCTACCCCTTCCATTTCTTCCGTTATGACTCCTACCCGTCGAGGTCCGTTAGCGATGGGAGCTGCTGCCATCGGTGCGACCCCGACCCGTTGTTGCGGGGGCCGGTGGGGGCAATCACGGGCTAGATGCCCTGGTTGATGGCACGCATAACAAACATTCAAATTATTCACGGCTCCTCCGAGAGCAGGCGCCAGGGCCAACCCTTGTTGGATTGGAGGGGCACGCACCGCGATGGGCCGCATGTTTCTTATCATGGTTTCTAACCGAGCGTTATGCTCTGGCTGTTCCTTTTTGCTTTCCTGGATTAGACTAATTAACGTCTTGGTTAGTTCAAAAATGGCAGAGGACTCATTTGTCCTTACAGGGTTCTCAATTGGTGGCGGGGGTGCTGTCATTACAGGTGCCGGTGTCACAGGAATAGGGACACTCGTGATTACACTTGGGGCGGGTCGTTTAGGGGCTATCTGTTCCAGATAGGTGACCTGGCCAGACACAAATCCCATATTCTCGAACTTGTTCCGCAACGCGGCCAACTCAGCTCTTGCCCTTGGGAGTTCGGACAAATCCCCTTTCTTAGGATAGTCTTCTCCTTCTAGGAAGTTCGCCGCGAACTTTCGTTCCATCTCCTCTGCAGTGGCCATAATCTGTTGCAGCGTGTGATTGATGGGGGAAAACTGCTTTCGCAGCTTTGCGCTTATCGTTCGATTGCGAAGCCCATCAATTAACAAATCTCTCCTGACTTGCTCACCTCGCTCAGTTTTCACAACCATTCGGTAGAACCGGTTTCGATACTCTGCGATAGACTCGAGAGTTTTTTGCACCCGGTCCTTGATCATGGACAGTGCCTGCTCTGGATGGATATAATCAAATCGATTTAGAAAATCCCGTTCGAAGGTCGGAAGATCAACCCATACATAGGTACTAAACCAATGACGAGCGTCTCTCCCTAATTGAGCGGGAATGTTTACCTGAGCTTCGTTATCGTCATACTGCTGTGCTCGGAGCGTGGCCAACCAAGCTCCTGCGAGATGATGTGCAAGGTCTAACAGATAAAGATCAGGTGGCGTCATGGGAGCACGTGCTCGTGGGGCGGGTTGATTAGGATTTGGTTGATTAACATTCTGCTGCGGATTCGGATTCTGTGCATTAACGTTCATGTTGGCTGCCCGTCGATTAGCCGATCTACTTCGGGAGATGACAGGGTCGCGTCTATGCGCGTTTCGCGGTCGAGGTCGCCCTCGGCTAGCCAGATCGCCCAATTAGCTTGCTATTAATCCTAAAACCCGGCCACGTGCCGGGCTCCGATACCAACCTCACGCCCAGTGCGATTTCCTGATCGGAGTAGGATGTGGGCCTGAAAGTGCGAAAAGGGGTGTGCCAATGATTTTTGGGAAAGTGGGGGTGGAGTCCCAGGTCAGAACTGAGATCTCCTGTGGCAAAGGTTTTCGGGGGCACGAGTGCAATTTGGCGGAGAGGGCGGACCGCCTCTGGTCATAAGGCAGATGGCATGCGCGGGTGACTCAAGGTCGGGCGAGCCATTGGTTCAGAGGACGACGGTTTGCGGGAAGGTCCCTCCGATGAGTCAGGCCGTCGAAGGTTGCCACGTGGTGCCGGTCGTCGTGCGTTTGGGTTAGGCCTCCAGAATTCCGGGGTCCTCTGATCGCCGGGTCGTCGGTAATTTCCGCAGGGTGTACTGTGCCAGTATGGGGCTATGGCCTTCCATGGGACGACGCTGAGTTGGTGATACGGAAGAAGAAGACGGAAGGGAGGGAAGCTGGTGGAGATAACGACGAATTCAGGGTGGGTGAAGTAGTGGGTGTGGTCTTGAGTGGGGAAATCAGAGCACCGGGGGTCGCTAGTGGTAGCGCAGTGAAACTCCCTAGGACACAGTCGATTCTCGGTTAGGCAAGGATATCTTTGTCGGAGGATTTCATCTATCCAAGGGGTGAAGTAGTCCGGGTCGTACAACAACGACTCCGAGCTCTATGAGCGTGTCATTATGTCATCGCAGAGCTACGAGACGCCTAAGGGCGGGTCTGTGCTGATTGCGATCACCGCGTGCGAGCACGTGCAGGCTGCGCGAATCAAGTCGCGCTTACGCGTGTTCGCACGGGATGACTGCCCTGTCGCAGACCCCGGATGGCCGTATCCAACCAGACGTTATTTCTACAATCGATAGTCCTTTTTGGATTTGATGAATCGACGCACGGGGGCACGTGTTACCACTGATAATCAATCAATCAAGGATTTTTATTTTTCGTTTTTTTATTTTATCGTACGATCAATCGAGCAATCAATCAACCAATCAATCAATCATTCAATCAATTAATTAATCAATCAATCAATCAATCAATCAATCAATCAATCAGTCAATCAATCAATCAATGAACCAATTGATTAATCAATCAATCTTTTTTTTTTCGTGTTTTTTTTTTTTTTACACCCTGATTCCCGGACTAAAAAAAAAAAGTAGTGCTTTTTTTTTTTTTTTTTTGAATGGGGGGTACCCACCGACACCCGACCCCCCCCAGCGCATTCACCCCCTCAACACCCCGGGCCCTCGGAAGGTCACATACCGGGGGCCAAAAGTCCGTACGTATGGGCCGTACAGGTGTTGGGGGCCCGTATGTATGGTCGTACGGGAATACGTACGGCCCGTATTCGTACGGCCGTATACACTGCGTTTGGGCTTTCAGGATAAACTCTCCCTCGTTTCAGTCGCCTCTGAAACGCTCTAGTACGAGTCCAGCCGATCTCATAGGCACGAATCAGATCTTCTCGTATCCTCGCTGGTAATGACCTCGCTTCCCCCTGAAAAGTTATTGTGACTGTACGCTCCTTCATCCGCCTTGTAGTCAGTTCTCCCACCTGCTTATCCACCACAAAGATTCTGACCCCACTCTCTTGAATGAATTTACCTTTGCACAATCGTTCCAGGAAGATCTCCTCTTCATTACATTTAGCGATCAGGTTGCGCACTCAATCCTCCTCCGAAATCGGGATTTCCCCTTGGGGAGGAGATCTGTCATTCTTATAATTCTGACATGCCTTTCGGCTTGGTCCCGCCCCTGTTATTACATTCGATACAATACTGACACTGGCTACCATACCGGAGTAGCCAGGAGTGACAAAGAAAGAGACTTTCTTCTAATGCTGTGACGCGGATCCACCGACCATCAAGGCCGGGGCGATCTATGGGACATCCTGCCGCTGAGCCGAGCAGTGATTGTCATTGTTGACCATTAATGCCAGCCAAAGCTTCTTTTGTACAGCCTCTAATGTCGGACGCATCTACCTATACTTGAGTATTTTTTTTTCATTCCCCCGCGACCCTCAACGTTGCGGGCCATCAACATGCTCAAGCCGACAAAGCAGTTAAATAAACACCCACACCGACAAGCATGCATATTCACTGAATTAGGGAAAGACGGGCTTAGGCCGCTAGTTAGGATGGACCAGTACTATATATATAGTAGAGCTGCTCCTTATCTTCTTGATAAGGGAGCTAGCTCAGTAGGTTAGAAAGGTAAATTGTTAAACGCCAGATGCGGGGATCAAATCTGCTCGGCCTTGAGTTAGTTCCTTTTTATAAGGAGCTCGACTTTTGTTTTACCCCGTTTTCATTCAATCGAGGCTCGAACCCGTGACCTCAGGGTCAAGGGAAGATGCGGTTAGMCCCCGCCGTGACAGTTGGCACGACGGGGTATTCAGTAGTTAGATTTCGTTTCTTTGTTGGATTTTTTATTTTTATTTTTTATTATTATTTTTTATTTATTTTTCATCCCGTTGGTTGTTATCGAATGAACCCGCCTCTGAATCAGGGCAGGTTCGACATAGGAAAGTGGTAACAGTCTGGCCGAAGTTAGACTACCGGCCACTCAGATTGCAGTGCGCCGAAGGTGAGCAATCGCGACGGCGTCGCGGTGAGCTATCAAAAAAATTGGCAGAAAAGAGCGCAGGGAGAGAAGCCGGCACGCGGAAAAGAGAACGCCGAGCAAATTCGCAAACGTGAGCAAAGAAGGAGAAGTAAGAAGAAGGAGAGAGAGAAGGAGAAAAAGGAAAGGGGGAAGAAGAAGAAGGGGGCAGCTTCGCAGACACTCGACCTTTTTGGCGCCCTCATCCCGTGGGTTCCTAGGAGGATCGACGTGGGAGCCTTCATATCCGCACCTACCGCGGTGCGCCCTTACAAAGGAGTGTGAGGACGTGACGAGAGTGGCATCACGAAGAAGACAACCAACCTGAGAGAAAAAGAAAGAGGGAAGAGAGGTGAGAGGAGAAGGAGAGAGAATCAGAGAGAGGAAACCATTCAAATATGTTATTCAGTAAAATAGTACATTATTTTCTAAATAGTACTTTTGTCATTCGAGAAACTCGAAAGGTATACACGGCTGACGAAAGAAGATGCTGATTATAAATTAATACACAACGATCAGAGTCCCTGTTCAACGGATAAATCCTCAACTAAACTGACACACATTCAGACGGTCAGTACGAACGTTTCCCCTTGTGAGGGACGTATATGAGTGACCCCAAAAAAATCTTCGTTGAGGCTTTAAAGGGTGCATGGGAGTGAAAAGAATAGCTCATTTTTGAAGTTTAATTGAATACAAGCAGGATGAGTAGGATACATCCGAGTCACATGTTTCAATATAATCCATAATACACAAGTTGGCTAGTTTTATAGTAAAACTGGGATATATCCGAATCAAATATTTCATTATTCGGATGGAGAAAATCCGTTATGTTATAAACCGTGCGTCATTCATTAAATATCCTTGAAGTTCACTCAATCAAAAGGATGAACTTATGATCATAGCCCTGATCACCCTCCGAGGGAAAATTAACCAATATGTTATCATTCCAAGAACAATTATAGCTTAGCAGATATTTCTTAAAACAAAAGGACATCGGACGGAGTGAAGTGGTGGGCAACATTATGCAGAGATGTTATCATTTGCCGCTTGCCGGTTAAGACCTCGCAACCATGAACTTATAATATCCCTACCCAATGCTGCCCACCACTCCGCCACTGTCCTTGCCGAGATCAAATGATGTATGTTAATAAACAAAAGTGCACCCTCGGGAACCCCTTAAGAACTCTAGTAACCATCAGTCTTAAATTTCAACTAGATGGTGGTTGCATGTACATTATCACTTTACCAAACATTTCTCAAAACAAACGGGCATCGTACGGAGTGAAGTGGTGGAGAGCATATTACGTAGAGACGTTATCATCTGAGGATTGGGCATTGGAGAAGGCTCAAACGAATGCGTAGGATACATCCGAATCAAACTGTGTACAAATTATCAGATGTTGAAGTGACCAAGGATTTTATAATCATTTTGAAAGATCTCACTGTATTTTGAAGACAATTGATAACTCATAAGAACTAGATTGAAAAACGAAGAAAAAGTAAAAACATAGCGGGACACCCAGCCTACATAAGCAGGCACACAACCATTGTCGAGACAAATGAGAAGTATGCCGTAAAAATTGATAACAGTTATCTGGTCCTAATATTGTGAATTCGTAACAGTTACCTCAAAAGTTTCCATTAACCAAAGATTTGGCAAGGCTGTGACGGACCGTCCACAATCAACCAAAAAGTTTCCGTGAAAATTTCAACTAATCGGACATTCTAACACAAAAATTTAGAAATGTCGAGATGTCTCTCTAAAAAAGCCTACACTATGAAAAGATTCACAAATCCGACATCCTGATGGAACTCTAAAAACGTAAGACTCGTCACCAAAGTGTCCCGAACTTGAAATCTTCAAAAGAAGTCTCTTCGAAAAGCGTTCACTAGCGGTTCCCATGTTGAACCGTGCACAATGCAAGCCGAGA